CAGATTTCCAAGACTGCTCAAAATCACCAAGAGGTTTTGTGATGACATCAGCCAGCACTTTGAGGATTCTGGGATGAATCCCATCAGGCCGCATAGATTTGTAGGCCTCCAGCTGGAACAGCAGATCCCATGCAAGTTCAGGGACAACTTGATCATTCTCGTGGTCATGGGACTCCAGTTCAGGGCACTGAGACCCCCTTGGTCCATCATCCATCTTGAAGACAGAGGCAAAGAAAGCATTAAACACTTCTGCCTTGTCTCTGTCCCTGTTTGTGAGGTGACCATCCTCATCCTGTAACACGCTGATGATATTTCTATACTGCCAATTACCATTAATGTATTTGAAAGAACTCTTTTTGGAGTCCCCCACACTTCTGGCCAGCTTTAATTCCAGCTGAGCTTTGGCAGCACAATTTTTCTCCCTACAGTGGCAAGCAGCGTCTGTGAATCCTTCCCGTGTCACTTGACTTTGCTTTCACTGAGCATACACCTTACTTTTTGTCTTATTTCTAAGAGGAGATTCCTGCTCAGCCCAGCCAGCCTTCTGCCTCACCTGCCTGTCTTTCAGGAACCTGACTTTTAGGACTTTCTGGTATTTGGGAATTGCCTGCTCCTGTGCCCTTAGGAGGTAAAGTTTAAAAAGTGACCAGCACTGATGGACCTGGGCACTGCCAGAAACGTTTTCTCGGAGGACCTTACTTCCTAATTCCCTGAGCAGTCTGAAGTCTGCTCTCCTTATGTCCAGAGTTGAGGTTTTGCTGGCACTTTTCCTCCTGTCAACTGAGATTTTAAACTCAATCCCTTCGTGGTTGCTGTGACCAAGACAGCCACGAATCTCCAGTTTGCTCACAAGATCTACTTTGTGAACAAACAGCAGACCAAGGAGGGCATCTCTCTGAGTCAGCTCCCTTAGGACCTGTTCCATAAAGTTGTCATCCAGGTTTTTTAGGAATCTTCTGGCGCAGGTTGTACCAGGTGTGTGGTGCTCTCAGTTAAATTCTGGCAAGTTGAAGTCCTCCATAAGGGCCAGGGCAGTTGGACTTGGAATTGTACTTGGTTCCTCCAAGAATAATTCATCGGTGTCATCATCCTGCTCGGGAGGTCTGTAGCAGATTCCCACAATGATATTGGCATTATTCTTGATTCTTACCCAGAGGCTCTCAACTGTGCCACTGCCCACTGTGAGCTCCATACATTCTAAAACTTCTATTACATACAGTGACACCTCTCCACCTCTTCTGCCCTGCCTATCCCTCCTGAAGAGCCTGTAACCATCCAGCAGGGCACTCCCGTTACAGTTTTCATCCCACTGGCTTTCACTTACACCAATGATATCAAATCTCTGGCATTGTAGCCAATACCTCATGAGCCAGATTGAGAGATATCATTAGTGCTTGTTTCCTCAAGTTTTGGCACACCATTCCATGGCTCATCACTGGCCTGTGAGGCTCGTCTTGTCCCTTTACCCCTTCCAATCTCATTTAGAGCTCTGTCAACAAGCCCCACTAGTTTCTGTGTTTCGGGGCTTCCCTCAGCACCCAGGGCTTTCACCACCACCTTGATAGATCAGGACTACAACCACCACTTTGACCAACAAACATTGAAATTGCAACAACCAAGTCTCATCAGTGGATACAACAGGTGTTTTGCAGGTCCTTCCAGTATCCTGGGGGATCCGCAGCCCTGCTCCATCTGCCTATACTGGCACTCTCCTCATCAGTTCGTTTAAAACAGTTTTAACAGTATTGTCATTAGCATTTCTTCTCACTAAAGAGGTACTTTTTTATTTACATCCAGGTGTATTTGGTCTCTCTGTACTGGAGAAACCAGGGGTATTGAATCCAAGGGATAAGACTTCTGTCTGAGGTCTCCACCCCTCCAAATTATCTCAAACTGAGACACATAAAAATGATAAATGTGCCACTGAACTTAAAATTATGTTCCCAGTTATTCCTTCTTTCTCCATGCAGTTTAAGCAACTCATCTTTGTATTTACAAGTTTCCTTTTCTATTTCCACAAAGATCAGGAGGTATGGCCACTTTACTAAATTTTAAAAAGCACATTAAGTTTTCTACACTCTTTGATTTTTAATATTAAAAATCTATGCAAACACCGTGTTTGAAAGCATTTTCTCCACTACTCCTCAAAACCTGCTTGTTAATACTATTGTCCTGTTCAGTAACAGCCTTTCATAAGCTTTAAGCTGCTTGAGACTTACAAGAGACCTAAGACTGCACAAATTTCATGTATGCTACAATGCTTAATCACAACAGGTTGCAGACTCAATGGCAGGCTGAGTGATACCATAATATAGTTTAAATGCTTTGCATACCAGAGCATCATGTGGTACAAGAGTATTTCATTCTTCTTTGTATACTGATCTTCAACTCTAAATGTTGCATGAATGTAAACACCATGAATCCTCTAAAAGTCTACTTTTTACTAACGTCTATTAGGACAAACCTGACCTAATCTTTTCATTCCTGCATTCATGTAGGTTTCAGCAAGCCTGTCAGTATTTCCTTTTAATAATTCAAATGCTACCCCCGGTTCTTAGTAGCATATATATAATGAGCTAGTTTAACAACTACATTGATTTCAGTTCAGAGTAGATATCTTGTGTGCATATACAGTCATGCATTGCTGTCTAGTACAGTCTTCCAAAAATGAAGATTCTCACATCAAAATGTCTCATACAAAGACTTAGGCAAAGACAAAGGGGCTTTTGGTTTTGGAGCATGAAACATTTTTAAGATATTGATTTGCAATTACCTAGCATTGCTACATTTGAAAAAAATATTTCAAGTACATGCAATTTTAACAGCAGCTCATCACTTGGTATATTTCAGTAGCACACTTACCCGATCATCTTTGATATTATGTTTAGCAATTGCACTCCAAGAAGCTGATCTATGACTGAGGTTCTGTGCTCTGACTGGATTTACAGAAAACTAACATAGTAAACACAATATGCTTCTTGAAGACCATGATGACAAGTATTTAAAAGTAAAGGAATTACTCAAACAAGAATTCACAAAAATTGAAATTACTCAAACTACTACTAAGACACAATCTTCATCAACTGACATAATCAAAGTCACCTTTCTAATATGGGCAAATATAAGCCTGATAAAATAGCATTCTTTACAAACCATCTTAAGATACTGAAAAAGGAAGTCTTTAAAAAAATCTTACCTCTAGGTCCGTTTCCATAAAATCAAACACCAAGCTAATATTGGACTTGTGTCCAAATGCGTCTATAAGCTGCAAAACAAAATACACTATGATTAAGCATGCTCTCAAACTTCCAGTTTTCTGAAATTCAATACCACTGTAGACTGCTTGTGGATTTTCAGCTTTTTGAGAACTGGTTTATGTTTTTTGATTTGCAACACAGAAATTCTTACTCAGTTTAGCTTCTTAACTCAGTCTTCAAAAACTCAGAAAAAAAATCCTTATTAAGTATGGTAATAACATTTTACACCACAATTGCCCCTCCTCCCTGGAGATAGGAAAAAAGAGAAAGAATTAACTTTATCTTACACCACAACAGATAGTGTAATGCACACCTTGTCCTCTCACCAAACTTCACTGTACTACAAAACTTCTGCTCTTTATTGAGTACAAGACTAAGTTTGCCCATGGATTCAGCTCTGGATATCTGCTTCATGTAAGTATGCAGCATTTAGAAATTCTAAGTGTTAGGCTTATTAACTTCCTTTCAGATATTCTTAGGTGTGTATTCATCTTTGTAGCAAGCTTTCCAGGAAAAATAAAACTCCTTGGAGAATATCCAAACAGCCCTTTCTTAGGATTAAGTTGTGTAACAACAGAATTAGTTTTTAATTTGAGATAGCACAAGCGTGATGCCGAGTAAAAACAAGAGTTTAGCTAGCCTGGTATTCAACCTTCAAGCTGTGGAAGGTATGAGCTCCATGGTGCAGCTCATTCCTTAGTCTCAGTGTGATAGCCATGTGAACTGCCCAATTGCAAGACAGTCGTTTAAACAGTCCGTAACAACAGACACTGTGCCCCTTGAGCTCCCAACATCCTCAGAAGTTCTGTCAGGACTACTAAGCAGGGTACAACATTGTCTATTGCCTTTAGCACCTGCTTACAGAACTGCTGATCATAAATTTGCCTAACTCCTTTTTGAACTGCTGATGCTATTTGCTTCTACAATGCCCAGGTCAAAACATTCAAGAAATTCATTACACACTAAATGAAGCAGTACAATTTCCGCTTCCGCTGCAAATATGTTTTAAACACACCTCTTAACTCTGGTGCTACGAGGTTTGGAAATACCAGCGCTGCATGTACTCCACCTACCACCTCAGTTTTGCAGACCTCCCCGTTCCCAGCCTTTTCCTCTCCAGAGCGAGGAATCCCTGACTTTTTCATAAAGAAGATGCTGCATTCCTTTGCCATTTTAGTTGGCCTTCCCTGCATATTCTCTAACTTCGATAGCTAAAGCAACCACTTTGAAAATAAATTCACAATCCAGAAGAAAATGATACTTCCACTCTGAAAGTCAAAAGTATCTTGAAAATTCATATTTGGTCTAATATTTACGGAAGACTTGTAATTATCACTATGAGCTAACTTTAAAGTACCTCTAGCTCCAGCAGAATACCTGTAGCTGTTAATCTATCAATATGCAACTGAAACAATACTGATTTTACTCCTTCCAACAGAGATTTTAAACACCCTATCTGTGTGCTACAGCCTAATAAGCCACATGATCTTCCCTTTACCATTGCTTACGAAAGCCTGCTTTTTGACTGTCTCCAGTTCCATACAAAGCAAACATTCAGGTAAATTCAGCACTGCATTCATTCGCAATTCTATCAGAGAGATGCAAAATCAGGTAATCTAAATTTCCACAATTCTTCCCACCATTAATATCCGCATAGCCCCGGGCTGAAAAGTGAAAGGATTAAAAAAAGATACTTTGCCTTTGTTATTGAAGTTGGCATTTTGCCATTATACTTGTTGTACTGCCTACCTTGGGCTGGGAAAAAACCTTAAATAACATTAGGTAACAGCTCCATGACGCAACTACTTCTGAATTCCAGTCTGAACCTGTACCAAAAATATTTAAGGACTGATTCTAAAAGAAGCATTCATTTTACTTACACCAATAATATTTGGATGGCTTAGCTCCTGTAATAGCTTTATTTCCCTGAGGGCTGTCCTGTTGATTCCTACATTGATGGCAAGAAAAAAGACGATGAAAGAACAAAATTAAAAACTTTGGATTAAGCTCCAAATAAACCTCTCGTTCTGTTACTCACTGACAATTTACTACTACAAATTACATTCTCAGCACTCAAAGATTTGTTAAATAACAAGTACGTTGCCATAAGTAAGTAAATTGCTGCAGAATAAAAGTGGGCATACATTTTCTTCCACAGCACATACATTTTACACTACAGTAATCCAGTTTAGATTATGAAGCAACAAGTCTCCCTTTTGGCAAATAGGGAAAGTCTTAGCAAAAGCCTAGGAAAAATATCACCTTTTACATGGTACTGGAATTCCTCATGGTACAAACATGGTACAAATTCCTCCTTGAAAAATGCCGATATGTGTGGCTTGTATGAAAACTGACTGGCAAACAGCTGTATGTTTTACAGGAAGATTTAGGTGCACATGAGCTGAAAACAGTGTTCTCCTAAAACCTAGGATAAAATCCAATGCTAAGACTCTGGCAAAGTTTTGGGCAAAGCTACACGGATTACTTTACACTCCTGCTTTGCCTATTTTAATTACCTATTTTGGAATCAAGTTGACAATGGCTGCTTTTGGGTGGGCAAAGTTTTAGATTAAAAAAAAAAAAGCAGCATGCTATGTTATAACACAGGGAAAGTAAACATAATCATTATTTTCGATAACATCTTTTAACTACAGCTAGACACTGTACAGACCAAAGCAATAACTATCCCTGAAGGCCATTAGCCCACTGAAGGCCAGGTGGATCACAACTCTTGGGCAGCCAGCTCAACTGAGAGACTCTGCAAAAAGTTTAGAATTTTTGAGAATGGAACTGGAAAGTTGATAGCAAAGATTGTTTGCTGAAAAGCTGGTAACCTGATGCAGAATCCCTGAAGGACAGCATTCTGCACACAAACAAAATTCTACTACACCACACAAGCTGTAAGAGAAGATCAAGATTAGTGAGTTTTGATTTGTAATATCCAAGCCTAGATGCAAGTGGTTGGTCAGAGCTTACGCCCTACAGTGCTGAACATCAAACAAATCCACACAGAGACAAGAGTTGTAAGATCTTGGCTTTAACAGAACAAAGAAAACACCTGAAAACAGACGCAAATACTCTCATCCATCTTAAAAATTAAAGAGATGCATTAATACAAAGAGGTATTCTAAACTCAGTGCTGGTGCTGTTGTCATTATTCTGTGCTATATCCATGTCTGTATTCCATTAAAACTGAGAAGCTAAGCAGTTATATACTCATATTTAGATATATACCATGCATGCAGGTATCTTTTGTCTGTCCCTGCAGTTTGCAAAGCAATCCTCTACTAAGCCTTACACTGGGCACTGAGCTCATTTTTCCCAGCTAAGGTACGGTATGTGAAATTAATGTACTATTTTACAAAAAACAAAACAAACAAAGCACAGCTTCTACAGTAAGAATTTGTTTTAAAACTCACCATCTTTAGCTTCCGATCTATGCCCCAGTTTAATCTGAAAATAAATGTTTCATATTATATAAGATTAAAACATCTGCCCCAGCAGTGGGGAACACATTCTTTGGTATTACTCTTGTAAAACAGAATGAGTTTCAGTATAATGAAGCACTTTACCAGCTAGGTTGCTTTTAGTTGTTTTGTGGTTTTTTGGGGTTTTTTTTCTTAAAAAAAGAACTGCTCTTATAGCATTCGTTTTTACAAAAGCTTAAAAATAGACATGATGGCACTGAAATCAGACATAATGCAAAGTGACAGAATAAATTGCTTTGTAGCCACAAAGCTTTATTATATCATTAATGAGTTTCTTCTCAGGGAGAAATGAGAGCCAAGTAATTGACAATTGTCTTAGAATGATTCTAGTAGAATTAGCATAGGCTGTAAGCTTGGGCTGTAAATTGGGCAGTCCTTCTGCCTCAATCATCTACTGCCCTGAAATTTCAAGTCCAGAATCCCATCATGGATATTTCCAGATGACAAAAGTTAAGAAAATATTCTGATAAAACCAAGAATATTTTTCACAACAGCTGCTACCAGAAGCAACCATACAACAGAAGTATTACAATGCTAAAAGGGATTAGTGCATTAAACAAAATTACTTACTATTGATACAATTCGACATGCCGCCTAAAGTAGGGTCTTTAACTAAAGAAAAAGTGCTGTAATGTGCATTTCTGTCCTTTGCAAAGCATAACTGAAGACTCATTTTTAATACAAAAACTTCCTGCAATCACTTCAGATAGTAACAAGTGAAACACTTTATAACAACATAAATATTTTCATCATTGATACCAAAACAAGTATGTTGCATATCCAAGATCACTTTCATATTTTATCAAAAAACTACCATATGGGTAAGAAACATTACTGGAAAACTTTCAAGTCTAGTAAGGCCTTCTTACTACTATCCATTATTGGCTGTTCAAACTGCCAGCAATGAAATAAAAAAGAGAAGTCCTAGAGCAATCAAAAGAGACTTCACGGCCCTGGAACGATTGGTTGCAGGATCAAAAACAGAGGTAGTGATTTTCTTGATCCTTCTGGTAACAAGGAATAATATTGATAGGAATAAGCAGATCCATCAAGTCAATGCATGACTCTCAGGCTGGTGTAATCATAAAAATTTTTTGTTCTTTGAATAGGGGATGATCTACTTAACACCTCACCTACTGACACCTGATAGGATGCACCTAGCTCAGCAGGGACAAAGAGTTCTAACACAGGAGCTTGTAGGGCTCACTAATGAACTTTAAACTAGCTTGCAGGGGGTAAAGGGACAAGACGAGCCTCACAGGCCAGTGATGAGCCATGGAATGGTGTGCCAAAACTCGAGGAAACAAGCACTAATGATATCTCTCAATCTGGCTCATGAGGTATTGGCTACAATGCCAGAGATTTGATATCACTGGTGTAAGTGAAAGCCAGTGGGATGAAAACTGTAACTGGAGTGCCCTGCTGGATGGTTACAGGCTCTTCAGGAGGGATAGGCAGGGCAGAAGAGGTGGAGAGGTGTCACTGTATGTAATAGAAGTTTTAGAATGTATGGAGCTCACAGTGGGCAGTGGCACAGTTGAGAGCCTCTGGGTAAGAATCAAGAATAATGCCAATATCATTGTGGGAATCTGCTACAGACCTCCCGAGCAGGATGATGACACCGATGAATTATTCTTGGAGGAACCAAGTACAATTCCAAGTCCAACTGCCCTGGCCCTTATGGAGGACTTCAACTTGCCAGAATTTAACTGAGAGCACCACACACCTGGTACAACCTGCGCCAGAAGATTCCTAAAAAACCTGGATGACAACTTTATGGAACAGGTCCTAAGGGAGCTGACTCAGAGAGATGCCCTCCTTGGTCTGCTGTTTGTTCACAAAGTAGATCTTGTGAGCAAACTGGAGATTCGTGGCTGTCTTGGTCACAGCAACCACGAAGGGATTGAGTTTAAAATCTCAGTTGACAGGAGGAAAAGTGCCAGCAAAACCTCAACTCTGGACATAAGGAGAGCAGACTTCAGACTGCTCAGGGAATTAGGAAGTAAGGTCCTCCGAGAAAACGTTTCTGGCAGTGCCCAGGTCCATCAGTGCTGGTCACTTTTTAAACTTTACCTCCTAAGGGCACAGGAGCAGGCAATTCCCAAATACCAGAAAGTCCTAAAAGTCAGGTTCCTGAAAGACAGGCAGGTGAGGCAGAAGGCTGGCTGGGCTGAGCAGGAATCTCCTCTTAGAAATAAGACAAAAAGTAAGGTGTATGCTCAGTGAAAGCAAAGTCAAGTGACACGGGAAGGATTCACAGACGCTGCTTGCCACTGTAGGGAGAAAAATTGTGCTGCCAAAGCTCAGCTGGAATTAAAGCTGGCCAGAAGTGTGGGGGACTCCAAAAAGAGTTCTTTCAAATACATTAATGGTAATTGGCAGTATAGAAATATCATCAGCGTGTTACAGGATGAGGATGGTCACCTCACAAACAGGGACAGAGACAAGGCAGAAGTGTTTAATGCTTTCTTTGCCTCTGTCTTCAAGATGGATGATGGACCAAGGGGGTCTCAGTGCCCTGAACTGGAGTCCCATGACCACGAGAATGATCAAGTTGTCCCTGAACTTGCATGGGATCTGCTGTTCCAGCTGGAGGCCTACAAATCTATGCGGCCTGATGGGATTCATCCCAGAATCCTCAAAGTGCTGGCTGATGTCATCACAAAACCTCTTGGTGATTTTGAGCAGTCTTGGAAATCTG